AAGAGCTGGGCCGGTTTCCTCTCCTTTTCCATACCCTCATTGCCCAGCATCAGCCACACACTCATCTGGTTCAGAGGGTAGTCAAACGCCGGCTTCTCATAGAAGTTCTACAAACAGAGAGAGAGCGGATGTTAAGGATGGTGCAGCATTGCAGCCAATAAGTTGCCTTAACTTATTGATAAGGCAACTTAGAGCAACAGTAGACAAATAGCTGACGTTCGGCATCATAATGAGCTCAGACATTCAGGCATGTACTATATACAATTTCAAATGTTTATATTTCATTGTGATAATATTGACCAGTACATCCCAGAATAAAATAGATTGCCACAAAGTATAGAAGGCTTTTGATATCATTTGTCTCAGTGTCAGCCAATAGGATTGTCAGTTATTTTCAGTTATCAACTAATGAAATCCTGACCTGTGGCAGCGTGGGGTTGTCAACCAATGAGAGACTGACCTGTGGCATAGTGGGGTTGGCCATGGGGATGATGTGTTTCTCTCTCTCTGACAAGATGATGATGTCATCGATGGCCCACTGGTCGTAGCCGTCCCCAGAGTGTAGGGGCTGCCACCATCTGAACCGGGTACACGGGGTCTTAGAGGCCAGTGGCAGCTCATAGTGGACAAACCTGGGGAGGAGAAATCAGTCAGACGGTCAGTCAGTCAGTATGCCGGTCAGTCAGCCGGTCAGTCAGACAGACAGACAGTCAGTCAGTCAGTCAGTCAATCAAATGTATAAAACCCTTTTTACATCACCAGTCACAAAGTGCTTTCCAGTAACCTGCATGGCCTAGACCCCCAAGAGCACGCAAAAGCACAGTGGCTTAAAAGGAAGAACCCTTGAGAGGAACTTGTCCCTCCTTACCGTGGCTTGGTGAAGTCCGTGAAGTACATCTCAGCGATGAGTCCCCAGCTGATTCCTCCGTCATTACTGTACTGCAGCATCACTCCTTCCTCCCGGCTGTCTGCCTTGTTACATCCTACCCAGTCTCCACCCACACGCAGGTAGAACTGCACAAACTCTGCCCACTCTGTGTCCAGGTCATAGCTCACCAGCTGCCTCAATCCGGCCTGTTACACACACACATAATAATAATAATAATAATAATGTTGTTTTATGGTTGTTATCTGGTCAGATAACCAGATAACCACGTCTTTGCCTGGTTGCTAACTTTCTTATACAACCAGTATACAACCTAGTCCTGTGTAGCTCAGTTGGTACAGCATTGCGCTTGCAACGCCAGGGTTGTGGGTTTGATTCCCACGGGGGGCCAGTATGAAAATGTATGCACTCACTAACTGTAAGTCGCTCTGGATAAGAGCGTCTGCTAAATGACTAAAATGTTAAATGTAATGCTATAAAAGACGTCATAATGACAACATTGCAACCAGTTTTACCCACTGGGTATGATGTCACTGTGTTATCCTACCTTGCTGAAGTAGAGCGAGGACCCAGAGGAGACCACCCCACAGCCCATGTCAGGTGTTACCACCTCTCCACCAATCACTTCCTGCCACACGGCCAGCAGACCATCCTGGGACTCAAAGTCTGACAGGACGCTGGAGGAAAGAGGAGAGGAGGCCAGGCAGTCTGGACCTGAGAAACCTTCATCACACCTGGGGAGAGGAGATTATAAGAAATTATAAAGGGTTATAAATGGTTTCCCCAAGCTCATTTAATGCATTTCTATACAATAAAAAAGAAGTGCAAAAACAAGCAAAAATGACCCGAGCCATTATCACCTCAGTCGATCTACAAACATATAGCCTATTAGCTATACAATTGTAATGTTATAACCCTGAGAGTGGGGAAATATGAGAAATGATTCACACTGACACCTAGCACCAGCAGCTGTTCAGTCAGTTGTTTCGATGAATTGCATAAAATCATTAACTCTGCATACATATATATTTTCTCAAATTACATAGCGATCACATTTGTATTCCTAGGCATTACTAATCAAGCTCCACACAAACAGACATCAATGGAGCACACAGGTGATCGTATTATCACATTTCCATGAATTATTCAAATATTATTTACGATTCTGTATTAATATCAGTGATGTAGTGGTAAAACAAAGGTGGGTAGTGGGTAACCTATAAACTCCAGTGGGCGATGGAGATAAGACGAACAACCACCGATATAAACGAAAACATTTGACATTTTTAGAACTGTATTGTTTGCATTTTGATTGCATTTTAATGTAGGTCTATAGGGAATATAGCCCATGTGGAGATGTTCATATTGAAACAAACTGTATCTTACATTTTAATTGTTCCTAACTTGTTTTGATAAGATTAGTACAGATTTTGTCAGGGGACCCAACGTGGGGCCCCGACCCCAGGTTTGGGAACCACTGTACTAACCTCTCTCTCGCTCTCTCTCCTCTGCCCCCTATTGCATGCATTCATTGACTGACTGACAAATCTATAAGAGACTATTTACCAGTACACTCATTATCCGAGAGTCGGTTTTTGTTTGTTTGGGGGATGTCTGTAGACACGGCAGTAGTCGTGGGACAGTTTTAAAATTGCCTTTTTGTGCTGCATTTCGTAAACAGACTGGCAGCAGCCTACTTGAGCCGACTTTGAGCTGGGGTAGTCCGTTTAACGTTCCAGGCCCTCTGCCTGTGCCGCGAGAGGGCAGAGTTAGCCATTTGAGAGAGTGGTGAATGTGCTGCTAAAAAGGCAAATCCGGGTAACGCAGGCAAACATAACGAATAAACCACTGTTCATGATTCCACTCGTTCGCAGAGGCAAGCGTGATTAGAACTCAGTCAGATCAAGAATATAAGCGTTCTGAGCTTTGATCAACACTGGAAGCAATATTAAGATGTTGACCCATAACTGAGTTTCTTGATTGTGTACAAATATATATTTGTATTCTTTTATTTTTCAAATTATAAAAAATTACAGAGGTCCGGACCTCTGTGTCCTCATGTAGTTACGGCCATGAGTGAGCCTGTGGAGATACTTTTTAGTCTTGGGAGTCTCGTCCTGAGACTCTGTCCTCCGGCTCTCAGACAGAGGTTTTGAGAGACTTTTCTTTTCCTGCGGCATAATTGCTACTTTGGAGGAATGCAGTGACTTTGAGTCATGAATGTTATGATGTCCATACATTTTCCATTTGAAAAGGCCTATTGCTCATGTTAACTTTGAAAAGACTACGCTCCTGTAACTTAAACTTTCATGTAATAAGACCATCTGTTTGTGATTCATGAATAGCATGTGCAATATGTATTTAACAATTTCGAAAGGGCTATCGCTCGTGTTAACTTGTATGTTTTCATATCTCTCTGCCCAGTTCGTATCTGTGTGTAAAACAGATTGGTAGCCAATTGTCCTTGTATTTGAGCTCTCCTTTTACTGTGCCCAGTTGGTTTTATATGTGTATCTACTTATGTGTAAATAATTTGACAATAATTTCTTTATTAAAGAATTGTAAAGGAGATATTGCGTCTGTAATTATTACTTGAGTTGGTATAGCCCAGAGTTATAGATTACGGATGGTAGGCTATGTAAACCATTCAAAGGCACAGTCATGGCTGTTTAGGTCACTTTCTAAATGTAATCTGTTACAGTTACTAGTTACCTGTCCAAAATTGTAATCAGCAACGTAACTTTTGGATTACCCAAACTCAGTAACATAATCTGATTACTTTCAGTTACTTTTAGATTACTTTCCCCTTAAGAGGCATTAGAAGAAGACTAAAATGAATATTACCAATTGAACGACATCTATTGCAGGATAAATCAGTGTTAGAGTTTACATAGCTGCCGATAAATGGATGTTGCAGTTTACTTTATGGGTTATGTAGGCTTCTAACCCATTGATTTCTACTTCAATACATATAATAGCACAATTTGGCTATAGTCTTCAGATTTCCAATCATTCCAATTAATTAAATACTGCTTGATTTTAAAGAAGAATTTATAGATTATATATTGACTAATAGAGATTAGTCAAATTGTTTTACCTGAACATAATCCCGAAACTAAAGATTAGCCAACTCTGTTGTTTATGCTTTTATTGTCATGGAGGACTGATTGGGCCCATTGCTTCAACACATGGTTGAACAAGAAATGATGCTGTCATGGAATGGCATGCCTTGAGTACTACCGAAACGTGCTATTTGCATGTGAATAATGAATGCCATATGCTGCATTTGCTATAGCCCTATTGTTTCAGTTTTTGTTGGTGACATGTTGATAGCTCAAAAATGTGCAGCTGTTAAAGTATATCAAAAGTGCACATGTTTGAGCATGTGTCCGTTAGGCCTATGGATTTTTTAGTTAATCAGCACTAATTAGATTGAGCAATAACAAGTCCCACTCTTGGTCTTCTTAAATTAAACTTACTTTTGACAGTATGTGGAGCCCAATACCAGATAGTAGTTTAGAAGGGAGGAACTCCCTCAAACTTTTATTACATCCACTGCAGTACACTGTAGTATAACTGCAGTTAGAGTGCAGTATAACTGCATTATGCTGCAAATACTGCGTCCACATTAACAGCGTTTTTTTTACTGCAGTAATTTTGCAGTGTAACTGCAGTTAGAGTGCAGTATAACTGCAGTGAGTGCATCCAAAATACCACAGTCGACTGCAGTTACTGCACTTTTCCTGCAGGTTCAAAACTGCAATCTTTGTTTGTAAGGGATAGGCTGGGATCCGCACTAAGCAGCTGTTGCAAGAACACATTTTTCACTGGCTGTCCACGGGTCGCAAAAACAATGATTGATTCGCAGTTTACACTTCTCGAATTCAACCATTATTGGGTTAAAATGCACCTATACATTTGTGAACAGCCATCCACACTGCTCTTTTCCTGTGATCTATCAAACGCATTTGGTGGTGTGTCATCATAGTGGTCTCTGACTTGTGGTCAGACTCAGGCGGAACAAACTTAAACCTTTTTTCAATGCTGATTTGAATGTCTTTGAGAAAGCAGAAAGGTGTCATAATTTTTTTTCACCAACATTACATTTACGTCATTTAGCAGACGCTCTTATCCAGAGTGACTTACAGGAGCAATTAGGGTTAAGTGCCTTGCTCGAGGGCACATCGACAGACTTTTCACCTAGTTGGCTCGGGGATTAGAACCAGCAACCTTTCCGTTACTGGCACAATGCTCTTAACCACTAAGCTACCTGCCTCCCATACTTTCAAAGTAATCCTAGAAGTTATCATGTCGTTTTTCTAAAGTATCTGTAATCTGATTACAATCTTTTGTATGGTAACGTAACAGACCAGTAAAAAAAATTGTAATCAGATCACATATAAAGGGTTACATGTAAACTCCCAACCCTGTGCGCCCTCTACTGGGCATAAGAATGACCAACATGTGCAAGGCAGGGTTTTCTGTTTCTGGTAATGCAAAAAGTAATGTACTGAGTTACCACACTAAATAACATTGTAAGGTAACAAGTTACTTTTAATGGAAGTAATGTTGTAACCGTTACTTTTAAAAGTAAAGTTCCCCAACACTGGCCCTCACTGACCTGCAGTGTCCGTGGTCGCACCATCCGTGTCCGTGGCACATCTGAGGGCACTGCTGTCCGATGTAGATGTCGTCCAGAGCCCATTCATCCTGCTCTCTATAGTAGTTCTGGATCCAACGGAACCGCGTGGCACTGGACCTGCACACACAGACAACAAGCAGACACATCAAAGAGAACCAAACCATCCTGAATGTACTGTTAGGAAAGCTCATAACCAAACATCAGGACCAGGATATACATTTGGTGAGCAGGGATACCAACAGTTGATGAAATGGGCATTGGCAGATTGTTAAAAACACGAATGGAGAAATATTTTGCTTGAACACCAATTTTTTTACAACCCCAGAACACTAATGAGGCTGGGGAGGTGACACAGATCAATATAGCATCCATCCATACTATACAATATGTGTTTTTGCTTTACAGTCTGTGATGGAGGTGCTCCATCACCTGTGTAACTATATACAAACATGTATGTGTATGAGTACCAGTGGATTATGTCTGTGAAATGAAAGTGCACCCCCACCTAGACCCCTAATGTGTATTTAGTGCATGGCCATGCATGTGTGATGGTGATGGATCGTGGAGCCACCACACCCAGTTAGGTTTATTTGTTACAGTCAGAGCAGTCATAGCAGGCTGGTTCCCTGCAATAGTGACCCAAAATCGACCCAGAGGTGGCCAGGCATCCTTCATGATGGAAATGAGATGGGGGGGGGGGTTGTAGGTCAGAGTGCCCTCAGGGAGAGGGGAGTGGGAGGTGTGTGTGAATATCTGAGTGTTCATATTGTGTGTGTGCGCTGCGGGCCCAATTCAGAGTTGAGATTAATGTGCACAACTCAGACTTTCGTAAAGCATTCTGTCAATGGGTATACCAACCTGTATGGATGAAAGAATGTGTGTTACCCACCATGCTCTATGAGGCAGGGGCAGAGTGATGCGTCTCCAGTCAGTGAACTCAGAGGGATGGTACACACTGGGAGCGGTGAACTCTGAACAGCTGGGCATCCCTGGTAGGCAGGCCTGGGAAGGGGAGAAAATACTCAGTCAACTCCATAACACACCATTTTAATACACCTGACAGTACAGACAAACTTCATTATAGATCTTCCAGTATCTAAATGTTTTATGGTTGTTTTACCTACATCAGTTAAATGCGCTTAATGTATGTGGCTTTGGATAAAACTGTCTGCTAAATGAATGTATGGCTGCATCAGTTCCGCAAAAGAGCTGTACAGAAGCTCTGGAGAGTAGCTCAGTCAGTTCCACTAACAGCTGATCTCATAAACAGACCTAATACTGGATAATATGTGAGCAGACTTTATGGCATAAAGCTATCGAAGGTAAATTAAGGTATATTACTATATTATACACTGCACTTGTTGGAAGATGACATTTTCTTGTACCTTGGCCTTGGCGATATAGTTCATTTGTAGGAGACTCGTTCAATCTCCGAAGGTCCAAAAATAATATGAGGCTACTTTAGTTCTTTATGAATATTTATGAGATAAAATCTTTGTAGAATAATGGTACGATAATCTGCTTGCTGATTCAAGTATTATTATGTATTTGCCTATACTGAGAGATAATAAAAAAGTAATGGCTATAATTCCTCATCGGAAACAAAGTGACACATTTAAAGACTTTAAAGAGTTTTTGAATGTATTATTTATCATTTGAAGAGGTGTCATTATTTACTCGTTATTACCAACATTATAATAAAAAACACTGACATTCATGATCATGAATAAATTATTTGTGATATTTTCCAGCTAGGGTGACTTACAGAAGGAAGTTTCACCAAGTCATGAACAATAATGTAGGAATGGACCCTAACATCACATCAACACAACCCCCTTTTACTGGACAGGGGGCCCTTCAGACCAGGAACTCTAGTTGACCCCACTGGCCAGAAGAAGTCCCTTTTGAAGTGCCAGGCTGGACCAGCAGAGCCAGGATATGGCCCCAATCAGCCTGCTATCTCACGTATTCTAAACAAACCTGAAGAGCCCAAGCTGGAATCATTTTTGCTCCAGTATACAACAGGGCAATAAAGTCCAGATCCAGATACTTCCTCTTGACCAAAAGTGACATGCCCTTTTCTAAGACAATTATAATTTAATGATATTTCTTGGGCAAAATATATATACAACAATATGTACAATATTGTATGTACAAATATTTACAGTCAAGTTTTTTTATTAAAACACTTGTTTCCAGTCATATCTGAGCCATGTCTCAGACTGGCCAATAAAAATAAAATATTAAGATGGGCAGTCTGAGATATGGCTTTTTCTTTGCAACTCTGCCTAGAAGGTCAGCATCCCGGAGACACCTCTTCACTGTTGACGTTGAGACTGGTGTTTTACGGGTACTATTTAATGAAGGTGCCAGTTGAGAACCTGTGAGGCGCCTGTTTCTCAAACTAGACACTCTAATGTATTTGTCCTCTTGCTCAGTTGTGCACCGGGGCCTCCCACTCCTCTTTCTATTCTGGTTAGAGCCAGTTTGCGCTGTTATGTGAAGGGAGTAGTACGCAGTATTGTACGAGATCTTCAGTTTCTTGGCAATTTCTCCAATAGAATAGCCTTCATTTCTCAGAACAAGAATAGACTGACGAGTTTCAGAAGAAAGTTATTGTGACGAGTACTGAGGATACGAAGAGGCAGGACGCAGGTTTACTTAACACTGAGCAAGAGAACAACAAAGAGCAAGTACACTACAAGACACTAAGAATCACACACAACACAACACTGAACAGTCCAGGGCTATATAGGGGTGGTGATGAGATGATGAGGTGCAGGTGCGCTGGAGGTTATTAGGGTGCGTTGGGTTTCCATTCCGGTGTTGCCAAGGTGGTGCGCTCAGACCGGTGGCTCAGTAGACCAGCGAATCAGAGTACCAGAGGGGAGCAACGGGAAGAGATGTGACAGTTCTTTGTTTTTGGCCATTTTGAGCCTGTAATCGAACCCACAATTGCTGATGCTCCAGATACTCAACTAGTCTCAAGAAGGCCAGTTGTATTGCTTCTTTAATCAGCACAACAGTTTTCAGCTGTGCTAACATAATTGCAAAAGGGTTTTCTAATGATCAAGTAGCCTTTTAAAATGATCAACTTGGATTAGCAAACACAACGTGCCATTGGAACACAGGACTGATGGTTGCTGATAATGGGCCTCTGTACGCCTATGTAGATATCAGCTGTTTCCAGCTACAATAGCCATTTACAACATTAACAATGTCTACACTGTATTTCTGATCAATTTTATGTTATTTTAATGGACAAAAAAATTGTTTTTCTTTTGAAAACAAGGACATTTCTAAGTGACCCCAAACTTTTGAACGGTAGTGTACCTACTGTAGCCAGCAAGCTTTAGCATAGGATTATTTCACGAGAAACTGATCGATCGATAGATAGATAGAAAGATAGATAGATAGATAGATAGATAGATAGATAGATAGATAGATAGATAGATAGATAGATAGATAGATAGATAGATAGATAGATAGATAGATAGATAGATAGATAGATAGATAGATAGATAGATAGATAGATAGATAGATAGATAGATAGATAGATAGATAGATAGATAGATACAGTAGATAGATAGATAGATAGATAGATAGATAGATAGATAGATAGATAGATAGATAGATAGATAGATAGATAGATAGATAGATAGATAGATAGATAGATAGATAGATAGATAGATAGATAGATAGATAGATAGATAGATAGATAGATAGATAGATAGATAGATAGATAGATAGATAGATAGATGTATGTAGCCTAATGCCACACGGTCACAAGGACTAACGTTACACAATACAGGCAGGTGAGAAATCATCCCAATCCAAGCATTCAATGTATGCGCTGTTGGTAGAAGAACTCGGCTTCTTCAGGAGTTTCGAAAAAATTTACCTCGCCGTTGAAGGTGACACGGAGACGGGCAGGATAAATCAGCCCAAAGCGGAGTGGACTTGAGGCCCGTTTCTTCGCCAGGCTAGAAGTGAAATCCTGGTAGAACTTGATCTTGTGGCCTTGGAAAGTGATGTCGCCGTGTTCCCTTGCACACCGAAGGACGAGCTCCTTTTCTTTGTATTGATGGAACCGCACTACGATGGGACATGGTCGGTCACCTGGGCGAGGTTTAGGTGCAAGGCTGCGGAGGACTCTATCGAGTTCAGGAAGATTGGGAAAAGCCTCATCGCTTTTCCCAATCTGGCTTGAAGCAGTGGGCGTCTTGTTGTTAGGCCCACAGAACTATACCTACAGAGGAGTGGCTTCTATGAAGGAACTTCGAATGTCTGTGAACTGGCTTAACGTTGGACCAGCTAGCTAGCCAACAAGCTTGTGTGTGCAGAGCAGCACCAGAATTAAAATACAAACACGTCTTACATTTCTGTAGTTAATAAATCCAATGTGAAACAATTTGAAAAAGTATGAAAATGTATGCACTCACTAACTGTAAGTAGCTCTGGATAAGCGCGTCTGCTAAAATACTAAAATGTAAATGTAGGATCCTTAACTAGCATTGAAAAGGTTAATCTATTCTTCTCTAATTAAAAATCTCTCCCCTAATTTCTGAATCCCACTTTTAACATCTGTAAGCTACCAGACTATGCTTTGGAGGGGGAAGGGCAGATTGCCTACACACGCACACATTTTAGTCATTTAGCAGGCGCTCTTATCCAGAGCGACTTACAGTTAGTGAGTGCATACATTATTTTTTCATACTGTTCCCCCATGGGAATCAAACCCACAACCCTGTCGTTGCAAACGGCATGCTCTACCAACTGAGCTACAGCCCTGCCGGACATTCCCTCCCCTACCGTGGACCAATTGTGCGCCACCCCAAGGGTCTCCCGGTCGCGGCCGGCTACGACAGAGCATGGATTCGAACCAGGATCTCTAGTGGCACAGCTAGCACTGCAATGCAGTGCCTTAGACCACTGTGCCACTCGGGAGACACACTGGCAAAACATTTCAGCTGGCAGGCAGACACTGGAATATGTTTCTGAGTGACAGAGTGAGGGCTTTGCATGGGTGCTTTGTTGAATTCTGTTGTGGGACTGGAAAAAAATGCCCGGAATGTAAAATAACGTTATTAACCGGTTCCCATGCTTTTAAAATAATGGTTCTGTTGCAGAACAGTATAGATCACTTTCGCTCCCGGTTCTGATTCTGTTCCTCTAAAAATGTAGTTCTTTTCCTGTTTTCTGTTCTGTTCTTTGAACCGGTTAGAACCCCTGATCATAAGAAATGATCGCGGATACATGAAAGTTAAGATAAACACCAAAATAATCACAAAAGAGCAAAATTGGGTCGAAACTCTCAAGACGGCAGCCATACAGTTTGGTGCCAATGTTGGTGTTGATGTAAAGTATGTTGTGTGATATTATCTAGTTTTTCCTATGTTATTAGAAGGTATAATATGCTTATTACAAGTAACCATGCAATGTGTAACCTAATGCCTGTTTGGTGTCTACGGACTGTAAACTTAATTTAATTCACTATTGGACTGTTTCTGTGAGTGTACGGCACATGAAGAACATGCTATGGACACTTATGGACAAATCCCTAATGCAGGGTCAGATGGTTAGGCAGAATACTTTGAACACTACCCTCAAATGGGGGGAATAAAAGACTGAGGAATGTTTCACACCTCAGTTCCAGTGAATGTTTTGGCTGTCAGATGTAACTGTCGAGACGACTTCTGGACGAACCACCCAAGGACTTACTCTTGCGAATTGTCCTTTTTTTATTGAAGCCAAGCTAAGGATTCCGGATCACCAGCTCGCATCTGACTGATCCTGTCAAGATCTCAGTCAACAACCGCAAACTCTATCATTCCTTGCCAAACCTCTTTGTTGGACACTGTTCTGCCTCTACCTGGCGTCAGCGCGCATTTCTGAGTCTCCAACCTCCCAGGACTCCTCCGAGCTTGTGTGAAGCCAACTCACCGTCAGATAGTGCGGCTGCACTGTCATCTGACCAAAGACCTCCATTCCATCTATTGAGTGTAACTATATAGATAATTGCCCTTTCTCTCCCCAGCATTGGCATGATGTGTAATGTGTAGCTCTTTAGGTTTAAGTTAAGTAACAGCTAAACATTAACATTAGAACTGAACCATTACTTGCCCCTTTTAAGTTGATTCCTCCAATCACAATTCATAGACCATACCCTTTCTCAGTATGCTCTATACAAATTGAGAATATCCTCCTCTAACAATTTGCTGGTAAACAACCTATTGAATTCATAATTTATCCTGTTTCGTCACATGCAATTATCATTATTCATCCTGTAACCATTGATTCATTTGACTCTTTATTATTCAACTTTTGTATTTTACCTGTTGTTGTGTGTTTCTCTGATACAAAAGAAGCTCTAGAAAACGGTACAAATTCACAAATCTTATATTAGGCTCATCAGATATACCTTCAGATAAATCAATTATTACAATTTTGTCTTATAGTGTTATTGTTAATATCACTCATAAGTCAGATCTTCTTAGAATATCATTTTTGTCCAATAATGGACTGGTGCCCTGATTCATAAAAAAAATGATGAATTATCCTAAGAGATAAATTCATAATTTATAGTAATAACTTGGCCAATATCCCATACAATAATATGACCATCAAAACAGAAAGGTAGAACTAGGACTGTTCCAAACAGGGGTGTAAAATCTTTGCTGTTCCTCAAATAAAAAATAAAAATAAATAACCACATTCTAATCTACAGGTCAGCTAGACTCACACCCCTGAGCACGTGTGCCAAATTCCATGACTGTCAAACAGATAGAGATACACAGTGTACAAAACATTAGGAACACCTGATCTTTCCATGACATAGACTGACCAGGTGAATCCAGGTGAAAGGTCAGTGTAGATGAAGGGGATGAGACAGGTTAAAGAAGGATTTTTAAACCTTGAGACAATTGAGACATGGATTGTGCATGTGTGCCATTCAGAGGGTGAATGGGAAAGACAACAAATATTTAAGTGCCTTAGAACGGGGTATGGTAGTAGGTGCCAGGCGTACCGGTTTGTGTCAAGAACTGCAATGCTGCTGGGTTTTTCACGCTCAATATTTTCCTGTGTGTATCAAAAATGGTCCACCACCCAAAGGACATCCAGCCAAATGGACAGAACTGTGGGAAGCATTATAGTCAACATGGGCCAGCATCCCTGTGGAACGCTTTCGACACCTTGTAGAGTCCATGCCCCGATGAATTGAGACTGCAACTCATATTAGGAAGGTATTCTTAATGCTTTGTACACTCAATATATATGTGCCTTTTATAGTACCAGCATATGGTTGATCATTCATTATATATTTCACTACTTCCTCACCTCTTTGACCAGGTGCCAGGTCAGGCCATGATTGGTGGAGAACTCCAGGCGGACCTGTGTGTCGATGTGGGGAGAGGGGTCTCGGCCGCAGCCCATGACCAATGAGAACTGCAAGGTGTAGGAGGCTCCAATCTGCATGGACTGGGTCTCGACATAGCGGATACTGGAGCCTGGGCTGGGCTCTCCTGAGAAACTACAGTACAATAAACGGTTAGCTAACACACATTAACAACACATAGAGCTCATCCACGTAGTTCATACTGGAACAGGGGTCCGAAAAACTATAGTACAACACAGTAGGGGGAAACAGTTAATACACATCTCTTGGCTCAATCTGAAGCAGAGGTGAATGGTTTTACCAAGACCTGTAAAGCTGCTCTATCTAATCATGATGTTGCAGCTGGTAATGTTTGCTAGCAGCATTTGGTTTTATTTGAGTAAATTACACAGGGACACATTTCATATTATTTCGTGATGACACTATACCCCGGGAGAGTATGTTGTGTCTTGTTCCGATAGCGTAAAAGCCAAAAAACATAAGCTAATAGCAATGATTCAGTACCACTGAGATGGACAGTGACATAACTAGAATTCTATAGTTCACCACCACATGACAGTGTACAGCAACCTGCTAAGGTGCAACCTCTCTCCACTAGCCTGAATAGAATTGGGAAGGACTGTAGCCCGGAAAGTGAGAAGCCTAGGTTCAGTATACCTGAGTGTCCAGTCGTGCTGGCAGTAGGGCTGGACATGCCCCAGGTAGAAGCCCAGACTCTGAGTGACGTCCAGTACATTACTGAAGTCCAGACTGATGGTGTTGAACAGCACAGAGGTCATAGTGATCTCATCCACCGCCCACACGTCATGACCACGCCCAGAGTGGTACGGCTGCCACCAGCGGAACTGCACCCCAAACTTACGGGCACCGGGGGGGAGCTCCACTGACACGATCCTGGAGAGGAGAGAAGGAAGGAGGGATGGAGGGGATTGAGAATGAAGGGAGGAGGGGAAGGTAGGTGGAGAGTGAGGATGGAGGGACGGAGAGAGGAACACAGGAAGGGATGGAGAGAGGGAGAAAGAGAAAGGAGATAAGGGTAGGTGGAGAGAGAGGATGGAGGGAAAGGAAGGAGCGGAAGTGGGATGGAGTGTTATCAATGTTCTCTAAATAATCCAAACAGTCCAGATGGAATGAGTCACATTAGCAAGGCTCTGACTGACTGGGTCTGGATGATGCTCTTCTAGAACCCACACAGCTATGGACTCAATTACCTCCTCTCAGCAGACACAGACACCATGTGCATTCACACCTCTATCCCAACACTTTGCCCCCAGCCTTCTGCCCCCTGATGAAGAGTTCTCTAGGAGGTCCAGACCCAGCTCTGTGTGTGTGTGCGTGTGTAGCCATTTGTCTTCATTACAACACACAGTAGACAGCACTAAATGAGTCAATGGGTCCCTGTGGGTTACATCTCTCCTTTCAGCACCAGGCATCCATTAGCACAGGAAATATGTATGTTAACAGTATTACAGATGCCTTAGGTCTGTTTTACACACGCGTGTGCGCACACACGCACACACACACACACACGCACACACACACACACACACACACACACACACACACACACACACACACACACACACACACACACACACACACACACACACACACCTCCACCCCACCACCCCCTCCAGTACAGTACCTGGGTTCGTGGAAGCCCTGATAAGCGTAGTGTTGCAGCAGGGTCCAGGTAATGCCATTGTCTGAGGAGAAGTGCAGCAATACACCTTCTCCTGGTTGGTCAGGGGCTGGACAGGAGCTCAGGATGCTACGACTTCCCAGACGCAGAGTGAACTGGAGGTACCTGTGGAAGAGAGGGGGAGGGTGGAGAGGGGTAGAGATAAAATGGAAACGTGATGGATGGCAGCAGAGAGAAAGGAGAAAATTGATTGAGATCAATAGAGAGTGATATATATATATATGTATATATATATATATATAGAGAGAGAGAGAGAGAGAGAGAGAGAGAGAGAGAGAGAGAGAGAGAGAGAGAGAGAGAGAGAGAGAGAGAGAGAAAGAGCGAGAGCGGATTGTAAGATTGACAATGGAGGGACAGAGGGGGACAGAGGGGGATGGGTGTGTAAAGGGTAAACATGAAAAATGACATTCAGAAGAATAAGGAGACAAAAAAGGTAATGGAGGGGAGGTGAAAGGGGAAGGGAAGGGGGTAAATAGACATGGATGGAGAAAGGAAGGGCGGGAGGGGAGGAGGGGTGGCAGGATGATGGATGAGATGATTAAATGAATGAGGACAAAATTAGATAGAAGAGAAGGATGAGAGGAAGAGCAGGGGGGAGAGAAAGAGAGAGAGAGGGAGAGAGTCAGACACATTTAGACATGTTTACACCTTCCTCTCATAATGTGTCTCTGAGAGTTGACATATTAGCAACTAAGGAAGAAATGATAGCACCCAGAGTGCTGCAGTATCTATCAACCCCCTAAACACACACACACAGACACCCACACACGCAGACACGCACCCACACACACACACACACACACACACACACACACACACACACACACACACACACACACACACACACACACACACACACACACACACACACACACACACACACACACACACACAAACACACACACACACACACACACACAAACATACACAAACACACACACACAAACACACACACTGCACTCAGTGACACACTGAGCTTTCAGCTCGCTCTGTCCTTGGCTCTGGCTCAGTGTGGCTCTAATCATCAGCCCAGTTTCCTCTGGCAGGCAGGCGCTCACTCAATCTGCGAGGAAAGTGGTATTAAATATGGCCGTCAGGTGGCACACAGGGAGCCACAGAAGGCATAATCAATCTAACACAGATGCCATCTCATCTCTCCCTCCTTCTCTCCTACTCTATTCCTCACTCTCTTTCATTCTTCCTTTCCCCTCATCTCTCCTTTCATCTGCAGTCCCCATCCATCTCACACCCCAGGGATGGAGGGAAGGAGAGAAAGAAGGAGAGAAAGTAGGAATAGGTGACAGAGGAGAGGAGAGAGGTGACTTGTTGGAACTTCTCCAATATTAATCAGCGATTATAATGAATGCTGAGCATATGAGATGAACCCTGATACGATCCCAGTATAGTCTATTCTGTGAAACTGGCCCTTAGAGAAGGTGTGTAAATGTGTATATTCATGGGTACCTCCAAGTCTCATTCATAGACATGGACTGAAAAGGCAAGACATTATCCGTTTTTTTCTCTCTCCCTCTCTCTCTTTCCTCTTCCTTTCCCATACAGTGACACATGAGTGTACTGTATGCACCTGTGAGTGTGTGTCCCTAGCCCAGTACTCTACCTGGCCTGAGAGCTGTCCAGCGGTGCTGTCACCAGGTGTCGTCTGCTGTCCCTGTTGAAGACCAGAGCCTTGCCACTGGCCAGAACCCCACAGCCGAAACTCACCTCCGCTCCCCTCAGGGAGGAGAAACTGTGGAAGGAGGAGAGAAAGAACTTCACAATCTGTTTAATAGGGCCTTGCTTATTAGTTGACACTCCAGAGAGGCTAGTAAAATAACATAAACATAAATATAACATAAACATAACATAAACATAACATAACATAAACATAACATAACATAACATAACATAACATAACATAAACATAACGTAAACATAACATAACATAAACATAACATAAACATAACATAACATAAACATAACATAAACATAACATAACATAACATAAACATAAACATAAACATAAACATAACATAACATAACATAACATAAACATAACATAACATAACATAAACATAACATAACATAACATAACATAACATAACATAACATAACATAACATAACATAACATAAACATAACATAAACATAACATAACATAACATAAACATAACATAAACATAACATAAACATAACATAACATAAATATAACATAAACATAACATAAACATAACATAAACATAACATAACATAAAATGTAAACAAAATAGAATGTTCAGACAATTGTAAAAAAAAAATGGGGGGGGGGACAATTGCACATTTTCCTAATGGCAATGTAACACAGTGCCTAACATCCAACATTTTTGTGTGTGTGTGTCTGTCCGTCCGTCCGTCCATCTGACTGACTGTCTATCGTTGAGCATGTTCTCCTTTTAGTTTACCTGTGGTAGGAGGAGAGTCTGGGGGAGGAGAAGCCCTCGGACAGGAAGGCAGGGAATGTCTGGGATGCCAACTCACAAGCTGGACCACTAAACCCTGGGTCACACCTGCAGGAGCAGAGGGGCGGGGAGGGAGGGGGAATGGGGGGAGAGTGGGAGGAGGGGATGAAGGAAGAGTGGGAGGAGAGGGGGAGGGAAGGGAACAGGGGGAGAGGGAGATGGAAGGGAGGTGGAGAGAGGGACAGAAATATGGGGGGGTTAGAAAAGATGGGGACAGAAGAACAAGAAATATGAGGAAAGGGAGGGAGGGAGAGGAAAATTGGGATGAGAGAGAGAGACAAGAAGGCAGAGAGACGGAAAGAGAGATAAAGAAAAGAGACAGAGGAGAGAAACAGAGAGAGAGACGGGAAAGGAACCAGATACAGAAAATAATACATAAATTAATACATACAAATAAAAATAGAAATAAAATGATTTGATCACGATCTTAGCTCTAAGACATTTGATGAATCAGCATTATTGAGAATGAGAATAATTAATTGAAGATATGATATTGTTCATTTTTTCATTCAGTTCTGTTCTTACTTGCAGCCGGTGCGGGAGCAGTGTCCTCTTCCAGAGCAGAAACGAAGGCAGGATGGACCAATGTACACTGGACAGACACACAGATAAGGGAGATATAAGAAATTACATAGATGGACTTTGAAATATAATACCTTTGAAAGATGGGAATTGGTTTCTTTTTGAGTTTTTAGAAAGTGAATCATTACGGGATTTGAACCAACCAACTTAGCGTCGCCAGACCCACGCTCTTAGAGTGTGGTGCCAGGAAAATAACCTCTCATTCAACGTCAACAAAACAAAGGAGCTGACCGTGGACTTCAGGAAACAGCAGAGGGTGCACCCCCCCTATCCACATCGACGGGACCGCAGTGGAGAAGGTGGAAAGCTTCAAGTTCCTTGACGTACACTTCACAGACAAACTGAAATGGTCCACCCACGCAGACAGTGTGGTGAAGAAGGCGCAACAGAGCCTTTTCAACCTCAGGAGGCTGAAGAAATTTGGCTTGGCCCCTAAAACCCTCACAAACTTTTACAGATGCACAATTGAGAGCATCCTGTCGGGCTGTATCACCGCCTGGTACGGCAACTGCACCGCCCGCAACCGCAGGGCTCTCCAGAGGGTGGTGCGGTCTGCCGAATGCATTACCGGGGGCAAACTACACGCCCTCCAGGACACCTACAGCACCCGATGTCACAGGAAGGCCAAAAAGATCATCAAGGACATCAACCACCCGAGCCACTGCCTGTTCACCCCTCAATCATCCAGAAGGCGAGGTCAGTACAGGTGCATCAAAGCTGGACCGAGAGAATGAAAAACTGCTTCTATCTCAAGACCATCAGACTGTTAAATAGCCACCACTAGAACATTAGAGGCTGCTGCTGCCTATTGAAATCACTGGCCACTTTCAGAAATGGAACACTGGTCACTTTAATAATGTTTACATATCTTGCATTACTCATCTCATATGTATATACTGTATTCTATAATATTCTACTGTATCTTAGTCCATGCCCTCTGTCATTGCTTGTCCAAATATGTATATATTCCTAAATTCCATTCCTTACTTAGATTTGTGTGTATTGGGTATATGTTGTGAAATTGTTAGATATTACTTGTTAGATATTACTGCACTGTCGGAGCTAGAAGCACAAGCATTTCGCTACACCCGCAATAACATCTGCTAAACACGTGTATGTGACACATAGTGTTTGATTTGATTTGATTTGACGAGCCACACAGGACCACCAGTGTGTGTAAAAGGTTCTCACCATTGTCTATGGCCCACATGTTGCCAGCACCCATGCCACTCTGTCTCCAGCGGAACTGTGTGGTCTCAGTCAGGGCAGCGTTGGGCAGTGGGATGGAGATCCTAGTCCAGCTACAGATAGATAGAAACAGGAACATCGTTTTAAATAAAACACAGGTAGTAATTGAATGTATCTCTATGGGGACACACTAATCTGTGTGTGCGCATGTGTGTGTGTGTGTGTGTGTGTGTGTGTGTGTGTGTGTGTGTGTGTGTGTGTGTGTGTGTGTGTGTGTGTGTGTGTGTGTGTGGTGCCTACCCGCTGTAGTTGTCTGAGGAGTAGATGGTGCTGTGTGGTAGGTGGGGGCCAGCACACAAATCTGGAAGACACTCTGTGTGAAGCAGCGACCAGGAACGACCGTGATTGGTGGAAAACTCCAGATTCACACTAACAAAGAGAGAGAAAAATCTGATCTACACCTCAAAATTATGCAAATTAAAAAACAACTAGACAAAAAAGTTTGAAACTTGGCACCGATGGAAATGGACAACTCAATATTGTATCATATCATATTGCAGCGAGGTTCGATCGAAATTGCTGGGTTGGAAGTCGCTGGACCTGGGTTTGAGTCCAGGTCGTATCATATCTTACCTGTTGGCTGGCTGGTAGGACCCACAGCCCAGGTTAATAGAGAACTGTGCTACATGGGTTTGTGTGCCAGGAAGGACAGGCAGCAGCTGCATGAAGTCTACTGCCCAGACGTGGCGGTTGGCACCGCCATGTGTCCGCTGCTCCAGGCAGAACTGGGTGACCGGGGTCTGGAGGTCTGTGGGCAGGGCTACTGACACTACTGACGGAGTCTGCTGGAGAGGGGGGAGGGTGAGGAAAGGAGGGGTGAGTTGGGGGAGAGAGGAGGGGGAAAGGAGTGATATGGGGGAAAGATTGAGAGGTGGAGAGGAGAGAGAGGGAGGGGAGATGAGATGAGACGAAGCACAGTTGAGGAATTAAAAATGGTCCAAGCTGGGTGGAGCAACATATTTTACATTTAGTTAGCTAAACATGAAAAATACAGTTAGAATTTGTTCAGTTCATAGAGCAGCCTACTGTAGTAGATAGAGCAGGTCTATGTTATGTGTGCAGTCTCACCCTATAAGAAGAGTATGGCAGGGTATCCAACAGCACAAGGTCTCGTCTCCCCTCTGACCTCCCAAACAAGATGACATCATTCTCATGGGACTCTCCTGGGTCACACTCCCCACCACCTGCAGGGAAACACACATACAAGCATGTCTTCTTTGTCAGGAAAATGTTTGGCTGCAAGCTGAAAAAGACTGACAGCTTAGCTAACAGAGAATTAGCCTCTTTCTCAATGTTCTTAATATTTGTCCGCTCCTTGTCCCTCCCCTTCATCTTCACTGATTGGAAAATACTGGACAGGTGAAAACAATATGGTGGAAGCTCAACAGGTCAGTACAAAGGCAAGGAGATGACATCTTTTTACATAATTGAGAAAGAGCCTGTGTCAGTGGTAGGTGACTCTTACCCATGGTGAAGTAAAACCGAAGGTTTCCAAAGGAGGTGGTATCCAGGTAGGGAGTACATATCTTCCTCTCTCCATCCCTCTCAAACACCAGGGCCATGCCTGACTCTATCTCCCCACAATGGGTCCCATACACAGCCCCCTCGATGTCCCAGCTACAGAGAGAGAGAGAGAGAGAGAGAGAGAGAGAGAGAGAGAGAGAGAGAGAGAGAGAGAGAGAGAGAGAGAGGGGGGGGGGGGGGGGGGGGGGTTAAACACCAGGGCCATGGCTGACTCTATCTCTGCACACTGGGTCCCATATACTGCCCCCTCAAGGTACCAGTCACACACACACACACAGAGAAGGGTTACATTGGAACAGCAGTCCTGTCTCAGCAGTTTCTGTCTCTCCTTCTGATGACACGTTCCTGTGTTTGTGACAGATGGAGTATGGACAGGGAGGCGACACCTGTTCTAGTCCTCAGCAGGATCTGCTTGAGCCATGCATGACGCATGACATATGACACGTGTGACAAAAGACAGGTTTCAACTGACATAGACAGGTCCTCTGAACTAAAATAAATGACAGATGAGATATAGTATCATGGGAATGAGATAAGCCTTGTGAGTGACAGATTCACAGTTTCCAAGACCCAGGTTAAGCCCAGAATAAAAAGCACTTCCATGATGGTCATGGTGATGATGAAAGAACGTTTTTGATATGGGAAGGGATATAGCAAGGGAGAGATGGAGATAGAGGGATGGAGACAGAGAGATGATGATGATTATGATTAGGACATCACTATGTCTCACTTGGTGGGCAGACTCTCAAAGTCCTCCTCCCAGTAGCTCCGCCCCTCCTCTCGGTGGAGGTCGATGTCTCGGGTGGAGGCGAAAGTGTGGCCAACCCCCTCCTCGTTGTTGCCATGGAAATACAGGGTGTTGCCCTCCGACTGACAGGCACGCTGGGAAAGAAGGAAGTGAAATGACACTGTCAAACATCATCAATACAGATGACAATATAGTATAATAATACTGTATTACTTTACAGTAGGTCTTGTACATGGTGAAGTGTTACACTGTAGAGCCAGGAGTTTTTCTTTGACCACGTGACCTGACCGGTAAAAACTCCCGGTCCTAGTAGTTAAGCAACAGTATTTTGGTGAGGGCAACTTGATTACCTTGGCAGCAACTCGTCTAAAAATATGATTTGCAAACTGCCATTAAACCCTGAAGAAGAAGAGGAAGAAGAAGAAGAGCATCCTACCTTGACGGTAGCCCCAGGGAAGAAGAGCCAGTTGGCTGTGTCTGGGGGGTCCAGATTATCTTCCAATAGGGGGGGTCTGTGAGCAGCATTGACCAGGAGTACGTTGTCCAGGCCCCAGCACGACTCGTAGCCCTCGGGCCCCTGCGGGGCCTCCTGGGACCAGCGTATACGCACCCCATCTCCCATGGAGCGCACTGGCAGGGGCAGGAGGTGGACTACTGTACTGCTGTTAGTTGGAGCTCTGTGGAGAGGATATTTATTATATGTGTAAGCTCAGAATCAGTGTGTGTGTGTGTGTGTGTGTGTGTGTGTGTGTGTGTGTGTGTGTGTGTGTGTGTGTGTGTGTAGAGTGGTGGGAGGGAAGGTGTGCGTGTGTGGGGGAGAGAGAGGAAGAGTGTGTGTGTAAGTGTGTGTGTGTGTGTGTGTGTGTGTGTGTGTGTGTGTATGTGTGTGTGTGTGTGTTTGTGTGTGACTGAGTGTGTGTGTGGGAGGCCGGGGGGTTCCCGTGTTTATACTAAAGCAGAACACGCAATTAACATGCTGCTGGGAAATAATGACAAAACACTTATACATCACAATTATGTCGCAGCTGATTGAGAAAAAGAAAGAGAATGGAGAGGGGAGAGAGAGAGAGAGAGAAAGAGAGAGAAGAAGAGAGAGAGGAGAGGAGAGGAGAGAGAGAAGAGAGAGAGAGATAGAGAGCGAGAGCGATAGAGATAAGAGAGAACGAGGGGGGTGGAGAGAGAAGAGAGAGAAAGAAAGAAGAAAGAAGACAGAAAGAAATGACAGAAGAACGAAAGAAAGAAGACAGAAAGAAAGAAAGATACTAACAGACAAAAGCAAAAGAAAGAAGCGAATTAAAAAGAAAAAAAAAAAAAAAAAAAAAATAGAAAAAAAAAGAGAAAAAAAAATTTTTTCTAAACCACAATTAAAAATTTACAGAAATTTTAAGGGGGGGATTTTAAAACAAAAAAAAAAAAAAAACGGGGTTTTTTATACATTTTTCGTTAAAAAAATAAAAAAAAAAAGGGGGAAGAAAAAAAAAAAAAAAGAAAAAAAAAAAAAAAAGGGGGGGGAAGATAAATTAAAAAAAGAAGGGCCGTTTCTCCGGGTGATCATCTTTGGACCTTGTTCTTGTTCAACTAGCACGATGATGTTTGGGGTCATAACTAACCTCACACCTAACCTAAGAGAGAAAACCACACACACCACCCCACCCCACCCCAAAAAAACAAAACCCCACCCCCCCACACACCAAAACCCATATACTACATACAAATACATAACAGAGGGAGAAGAGTTACATAGTGATACTTCATGAGTGGACAGCTCTGTGTATTAAGGTAGCATCCCAATTGACACCCTACTCTCTAGTGCACTACTTTTGATCTGAGTGCTATATGGGCCCTGGTCAAAAGTAGTGCACTACATAGAAAATAGGGTGCCATTTGTGACGCAACCTAAGCCCCAGAGAGGGGGACTGCACAGACAGAATGTAAAATAACAAGTCAGCTGTTTCTGCATCAATTCAATTTCCTCAGACTCAGAATGGCAATGATCCACCGGTGCCCTGAGGGACCTGTCGGCATCCTCAATCCATTCCTCCCTCCCTCCCTTGCTCCCTCCCTCATTCCTCCCTCCCTCGTTCCCTCGCTCCCTCCCTCCCTCGCACCCTCCCTCCCTCCCTCCCTCCCCTCCTGCCTTCCCTCCCCAGCCATGTAGAAATTATACTTTAAACGGTGTCATGGTATAAATGATCTGCTTAGCAGTTGGTGCCCAGGCAGGCAGAAAGGCGCATGGAGAGAGGAAAGAAGAGAAGAGGAGAGGAGAGAGGGGAGAGGAGGCAGTTGGACTGCTGATGCATGCTGTAAAGGCGCTTCGGCCCTACTTTACTAAGGGGAGCGTGGAGAAGGGAGGGATGAAGGGATAGAGGCGCTAGAGTGCACCCCTCTCAAGGCATTGGGGAGGGGGGATAGAGGGGCTAAGATGTTAGAGGTCAGAGGTCACTAATGGAGAAAGTGGGCTAACCCCCCCCATCCCCCCCACCCTTCCCCCCCCCCCAAACCTCCATGGGGGCCAAAGGTCGGGGCCTCAAAAGGCATTTGGTTTTCCCTTTTCCTATTTAAAATCCCAACAGGGCCGGGCAGCTGACTCGCAGACCGAAAAAGGGAAGAGAGAAAAAAGAGAAAGGGATCGAAGTGGAAAGGCCAATGAAAAAGGGGCCGAAGAGAAAGGGGAAAGAGGAAAGAGAAGATAGGGAGAAAAGAGACAAAAGAGAAGAAGGATAGAGAAAAGGATAAGAGGGGCCGGAAGAATAGAAAAGAGAATAGAAGAGAGAGGAGATGATGTAAATAGAAGCGAGGGAAAAATATAAAAAGGGAAAATTTATAGGTGTCAGAATTAAGAAAGGTAAGAGAGAGATTAGAAGGATAATAGTATGAGAGATAAAAAATATAGAGAAAAAAAGAATTTAATAGATAGAGATAGAAAAAATCTAAAGAAGGGGGGATCGTTTCCACCCTTTTCTCCACTCTCCGGGGGGGAAACCCATCACAAAATGCTTGAAATGGACATTAGAAAAAACAATTCTAAAAACCTATCTGCCGACAACACCTTTGGGGGGCCCTTCCATTCCAAAAACCCCAAAATCATTACCATGATAGGAAAAGAAAAAAAGAAAAGAGAGAGAGGAGAGAAGAGAGATAGGGGAGATGGGGAAATAGAGAAAATAGAACTTATAGATAGTTTTTGCGAGAAGATAAAAATTTGGGAGGATGGTCGATTTGGGGTTTGGGGTTTTGGGGTTGGGTTTAAATTTTTGGTCTTAATTCAGCAAAAACCAACGAAGGGTTTTTTTCTGTCCACTCTTTGTGTTGCAAAAGAAAACACCCTTTTTTCAAAAAGGCCCTTCTCTTATTTGTTTGGGGGTTTTTTCAAAATTTCCCTTACATAGAGTGCTGTGAAAAGGTATTTGCCCCTACAGGAGAATGTCATGCCATCTGTCTGTGAGCTGAAGCAGAAGTGCAGCTGGGTCATGCAGCAAGACAATGATCCAAAACACACAATCAAGTCTACATGAAATGGCTAAAAAGCAACACATTTGAAGATGTGGAGTGTTCTAGTCAAAGTCCAGACCTAATTCCAATTGAGATGTTGTGGCAGGACTCGAAACGAGTACTTCATGCTTGAAAATCCACAAATGTCGCTGAGTTACAGCAGTTCTGCATGAAAGAGTGGGCCAAAATTCCTCCACAGCGACGAAAGAGAGTGATCAACAACTACAGGAATCATTTGGTTGGAGTCACTGCAGCTAAAGGTGGCACAACCAATTATTGAGTGTAAGGGGGCAATTAATTTTGCACACAGGGGCATTGGGTGTTGTGAATCTTTGTATTTTGTATTTTATTAGGATCCCCATTAGCTGTTGCAAAAGCAGCAGCTACTCTCCCTGGGGTCCACACAAAACATAAAAATGACATAATACAGAACATTAATAGACAACAGCTCAAGGACAGAACTACATTTTATTTTATTTTTTTACAAAAGGCACATGTAGCCTAGATATCAATACATACACACAAACTATCTAGGTCAAATACGGAAGAGGTGTTGTGCCGTGAGGTGTTGCTTTATCTGTTTTTTGAAACCAGGTTTGCTGTTCACTTGAGCAATATGAGATGGAATGGAATTCCACGCAATAATGGCTCTACATAATACTGTACACTTTCTTGAATTTGTTCTGGATTTGGGGACTGTGAAGGATGGTTCTGATGAGCTATTTGGCGTTGCAACTAGTCTAGCTGCTAGCTAGCTGCCTATCAAGCTAGTGGGGTTTCTTGAGGGCTTGAACGCAGCCCACGACGTGGTTAGCCATTGTGGCTGGGATCGTGGATTGTCCTGGGTTTGTGGGTGTCTAGATCCCTGCTGTTTGTTATCTTCAATCTTCCCTGTGACCTGCCCTGTCTAGAACTGTGAGGAGTAACAGCGTAACCTACGTCGCTAGCTACCATGACAAAGACCAAAGCCAGCGGGAGTACCGTTGTCGAGGACAGTGGTGTCTCTCTATCACACGTGAAGGATCTTTTAAACAAAAATAGTTCTACAAGCAGTTGTTACAACAACAAGAAAATAGCTTCAAGTGCTTTGTCCAAATACAGGTGGACTCGACTAATAAAATAATGGACGACCTGACCAGAGAGTTCCAGGACCTGAAGAACAGTTTGCAGTTCTCCCAGGGTCAGCTCGATGAGTTGAAACAGGAGAACGGCAAGATGACAGCAATTTCTAAGTCATTGAGAGAGGACATGAGTTCTGTGTGTGAATCCATGATAACAATGACGGATAGTCAGACTATCTCGAGGGACAATCAAGACGTAACAACATGGTTGTGGATGGAATTGCAGAATCTCCACATGAGACCTGGACGGAGTCTGAGGACAATGTGAGGGAAAGGATCTCTGAGAAAGTGAAGATGGACCACAGGAAGATTGAGGTAGAGCGCGCCCACAGGACTGGAAAACCCACCACCGGCCAAGGTGACAGGCCCAGGCCGATAGTGGTCAAGTTCCTGAGGTTCAAGGACAAGTTAGCTGTTCTGGAAAGAGCCAAGAACTTGAGAGGAACGTATATCTTTCTCAACGAGGACTATCGTGAAGCTGTGCGCCAGAAGAGGAAAGAAATTATCCCAGCCATGAACCCTGCCAGAGCGCGTGGGGACATTGGTTACATCCGCTATGACAGGCTCATTGTCTGCCCTCCCTCCCAGAAGCCTGGAAGGGATGAGAGAGCCAAGCCTATGGGTTGGCAGCTTCAACCCCACAGCACACACACACACACACCAATTGATTAATGGACTGCTGAATATATATTGTTTTCTCTTGCTTTGTTTGCTCTTTTCAGTATTCAGTATCTCTGATAAGCTACCCAGGAAAGGGCTGAAAATAGCCCATATTAATAGCCTTAGAAATAAGGTTCTTGCAATCAATAACTTGCTAACATCAGACAACATTCATATATTAGCCATGTCTGAGTCTCACTTAGATAATTCATTTGATGATACAGCAGTAGCAATACAAGAATATAACATCTGTAGAAGAGACAGAAATGCTTATGGGGGAGGTGTTGCTGTAAATATTCAGAGCCATATCCCTGTAATGCATAGAGAAGATTTTACTTCAAGTGTTATT